CGGAGCACCGGGCCCCGCCTGTCGCAGCTTGTGCATGGGCATGGTGCCCGTCTGGCTGCTCTCGAGGGGTGGCTGCAGAAGGCCCAGCCCAAGCTGCCCAGCCCCGACTCCCTGAAGCTGCAGAGGGACAGGCAGGCCCTCACAGCTACACCTGAACACGGGAACCCCCCGAGGGGCTTCACTGCCCGTCTTCAGGGCACACGGGAGCACCCAGCCCCAGGTGGCCATCTGGCTCCTGGTGGTACTGCAGCCCCCAGGGACCCTGCTCAGCAGGCACAGCCCCGTCAGGGACCAGGAGAAAGTAAGTGCCCTCCAGACCCTGTGCCATTCAGGCTCCTTCTCAGGCCAAGCACAAGGGTTGTGTAGACGACCCTAGCTCCCTACTCTGCACACCCAGGCCTGAGAGGAGACTCCCCGCCCATTTGTCCAGGTGCCTGCTCAGGTCCCTGCAGGCCAGGCCCCCGTGTTCCTCCCAAGACAAAGGGACTCTTGCAGAGGTTAAGTCCAAGACGGCAGGTGGGAGGCACCTGGGTCATCAGGAGGGCCTTGTTCAGTCTCCAGGTCCTTACAGAGGGAGGCCCAGGACGGAGGAGGAGGTGGGGACAGAGCCGAGCTTGGAGGGAAGGTCGAGAGCCAGGGCCTGCGGGCCCCCACAGCCTGGGGGGAGCAGGCCCACTCACCTTGAGGCCTAGGGGACCCTCAGGGGACTTCTGAGTCCAGGGAGTGAGGCAACGAAGAGCTTGCATTTGGGCGACAGTCGCAGCAGTGCCCGGCCCCTCGCAGAGCATCTCCCGCTGAGCCACAGCCAGTCAGGCTTATGGGATCGAGCGCTCCCAGCAGGGTGGCCCCATTCCACTCTTCCTCCATAGATTGAGGTGACCAAATCCTGGGCATGAATGAGATGCTGCACCCAGGCCCTGGGCAGGGGTGGCCCATTGTGCTCAGGGAACACTGGCCCTGGGAGGGGTGGCCCTCCTGTCTGGACAGGGCGTGGTGCCTGCACCCTCAAGGCAGAGCTGACCCCGTCCCTCTGCTCCTAGTTTGCGACGTAGGCCCTGTGCTCATCTTCCCAAACGCCTCCACTGAGAACGTGGTCTTCCTCAGCCCCGGCTTCCTCAAGGCCCTGCGAGCCCTGTCCTTCTGCAGCTGGGTCCGCACGAGCTCCGGCCACCTGGGCACCCTCCTCTCCTATGCCACTGAGGGGAATGACAATAAGCTGGTACTGCACGGCCGTGCCTCCCTGACCCCCGGCTCCGTCCACTTCGTGATCGGAGACCCAGCTTTCCGGGAGCTGCCCCTGCAGTCAGTGCTGGATGGCCAGTGGCACCATGTCTGTGTCATCTGGACATCCATCCAGGGTAGGTACTGGACCCATGTGGACCGCAGGCTAGTGGCCACTGGCTCCCGCTTCAGGGAGGGCTATGAGATCCCTCCTGGAGGGTCCCTCGTGCTGGGCCAGGAGCAGGACAGCGTGGGGGGTGGGTTTGACAGCTCCGAGGCCTTCGTGGGCAGTGTGTCTGGCTTCGCCATCTGGGACCGGGCACTGGTGCCTGCGGAAGTTGCAAACCTTGCCACTGGGAGAGGGTTCCCAGCAGGTGCCGTCCTGACACTGGCTAACGCCACATCGGTGGGTGGGTTTGTGCAGAGGGCCAACTGCACCTGCCTGCAGCGCTGTCCCCAAGGTGCCATGTGATGGGACAGCCCTGCTGGCCTGGCCCTGCTGAGCACGTACCTGCCGTGAGCTGCAGCCCCGTCCTCTGTCTACCACATAGACACCATGCGTGCCAACACTGCTGCCCTCTCTCTTTTGTCGTATTTAGAACATACTTTAATGAGACACGTTCTCACCAACTTTAAACAACAAGGGTTTGCCTTTTCCAACCCGAAGCTGCTCTGGCATCAGGACTTCACTGCGTCAGGTCCCACGGGCTTCAGACGCCGCTGCGCCGCTGGCCCCGTGCTCTGAGGCTGTGCTAGACCTGGCCTCTGCGGCGGCCTGGGCAGCATCGGGCTGACTCCTATCGAATCGGACCACTGCAGTTCTGCATCCACTGGCGGGATGTTCTCACGGACTGGAGGGGTCTGCTCTCTCTAACCAAGCGTCTTTACTGTACCTTTCCCCAGTACGGACGTGGCTCGCACTTCCCATTCTGGTAACAATGCAGCGCATGGGGGCCTGTGGACCCTGCTGTATTTTTCATGATCAGCCACTGATCAGCCACTGAAGGTTGAAATACTTCATGTGGTGTTCTTTTTTTTTTTTTTTTTTGGAGAGATTTTCGCTATAGCACGCCAGACAGACAGAGAGAGACATAGAGACAGAAAGCGAGAAATCACCCCCCAGGGGGGATGGTCACGCCGCAATCCCTTCTCCTCCATTCTCCTCCATTCTCCTCTCGGGATCTTGGGCACGCACGCACACACGCCCTGCGTGAGTTTAAGCCACCAGGTCCAGGACGCGAACCTCAGTCGACTACGTGGGAGTCCGGCGACATAGCCATTATGCTAACTGCTGGTTCCCTTCATGTGGTATTCTTGACCTGGCCCATTTGTGACGAATCCGGTCTGTACGAATGAGAGACTCCACACCTTTTGCCGCAGTCTGCAGTCTGCCCAGGACCTCTGAACCAGCGAGTGCAGAACCTCCACCATAAATGCAGCCACCGTCCTCTTCTGAAGCAGCGCCTGCTGAAACGGCCAGCTCCCATCTCTGCCTTCCCTTGAACGCTTTTTCCCGGGAGCTGCCCTGCCTGCCCCTCTGTGCCCCTCTGTGTAGAGGGCCTGGGAGTCTGTTTCCTGGCCCTCGAAAGGACAGCCCTCTTTGCGGGCGCCCCCAGGGTCCCCTCCAGACCAGTGAGCTCTGTTCTGTGCAGTGGTGGCTGGTAAGGGTGCCGAGCCTCCTGGGCAGAGGGCCCACAGAGACAGCCGTTCAGACACGGGGTGACAGACAGCCATGCTTCCCAAACCACTCCTTGGGTAAAGCTTGTGTACTGTAACGCGAAGATTCACAGCTTTCTAGTGCCTGTATTGTGCTGTGCCACTGGTGGCACGACCCAGCGCAGGACGCCCCCGCGGCCGCTCCCAGGCCGGTGCTGTTGGCAGTCGCTTCATCCCGGCTCAGCCCCGCCCAGCTCCGGCACCCCTGCCTGCGCCTGCTTGCTGAGCTGAGGTCCTGCCTGTCCTGGGCCCCGTGTGAGTGGCCGTGCACATGTGGCCTCCTGCCCGCCGCTCTGGCTTTGCGCAGCCTCCCAGGTGAACCACACTGTAGCAGTGGGCGCCTGGCTCCTCCCTGGCCGGGCGACGGTCCCTCGTGGCAACGTACGGCACTTTCCTGTTGACCCCTGGGTGACACTTGGGCTGTACTGAGTTGGATTATCGTGAATGAAGGGGGAAGGAGCTTCTCACTCGAGTCTTGGTGTAGCTTTCTACTGCTTGTTGGGTCCCCAGAAGTGCCGTGCCGGGCGTGCGAGTCTGGATGGAGACACTGCCAGGCCGCCTCCCTCCAGCGACGCATGCAGGCCCGTTTCCCAGCCTCCTGGCCAGGCTTTGATGTCCTGTCACCTTTTTTAACAAATGAATTCCCAAGTGTGGCAGGCGAGACAATACGCGCTGTGACAATGAAATGGATGTTGAAGTTTTGTGATGCGAATAGGTTCCCGTAACATCCGAGAGTCCCAAAGAAGGCCCGAGTAAGGTCGGTCAGAAGGCCGGTCGGGGTGGCGTGGACAGGCCCTGCCGTGGGGAAGTCCTTGAACCCCTGGTCCGCATGGGACTGGCCGGTTTTAGCTCTCACCTACTCTACCCTCCCTTCCACCTTAAAGTGTGGAAGTCCCAGCCTGCAGGAGCCAGCAGAAGCTTGAAGGGCCGAGACCCCGGCCCCCACCCCACCACCCTGTGCCTAGGGAGTTCAGCTCCACAGAGACCCAGGCTGGCATCTGGCCCCTCTGCACGTGAGCCCTGCCCACCTGTTCCCCTGGGGAAAGTGCCTTCTGTTAGCTCCCGGAGTCCCGGAGCTGCTACTCTGCAGGGGTGCCCGTGAACGGCAGCACCTCTGGGCCTTCGGCTCAGGTCAGCCCCTCAGCCTCTCCGCACTGCCTGGACGTGAGTCAGGGCCAGGGCAGATGCCGCAAAACTGGGAGCCTGGGGTGCCCTGTGATGGGCTCCCTGCTTTTCCAGGACATGCCCGACTTTGTGGGAGTCCCCTCCACCAGCGTCCTTTCATGATGTGTTCCAGAACCCTCGCAAGGTCTTTTCTGTTTTGAAGAGTCTGGCGCCGACCAGTCACTGTTTCCACGGGGCAGCTGCTCCTCGCTGCGGCTGTCTGGTCAGACCCCGGGCCAGCAGGCGTGGCCCTTGATGGGTTTGACTGCAAACATCTGTGGTCAGGGCTTGGTGACAGAGACAGCCGTGAGCACTCCTGACCTTTACCGCTGCAGGTTCAGAGGCGTCCCCACCCCTCCCGGCTCCCGGGTGCTCACCACAGGGAGCTGAGGTGTCACTGTAGTCCAGGAGCCGGAGAGCGGCCACTTGAGAGCTCGAGGACTGGGCGGGCAGCACTTGCTGCGGGCGCTGCGTCGTGGCAGGTGCTCACTGGGGCCGTGGCACTCAGGAGCCAGGGCTTGCAGTCGGGGCAGCTGGCAGCATCTGGGCGGTGGCGGCCTCCCCGGAGCTCAGGGGTCAGTGCCACTGTGGTCAGGCGGGGCGTGGGAGCCTGAACCCCAGGCGCCTTGCTGTCGCCTTCATCTTGAAGCGGCTGGGCGTGAGTTCTGAGATGAAGGTAGCCCGACAGCCCCTGCCTGCTCCCGCGGCCCCGGCCACAGGCCCCAGCACTGGCGCTGGCAGGGCAGAGCCGGGCGCTGCTGCTGGCGTCTCCCAAGAACCAGCGCAGAGTGATCATGGTGAGACCCCGAACCCGGAGAGGCTCCCTCGCTCTGATTCCAGCTTTCATTTGGGTTTTCTTCTGAGTCGCACTGGGGAGGAGGGGCACGCTCTCTTCTCAGCCTCAGCGGCACACCGTACCCAGCCATCCTCGGTCATCCGGTGTTAACTGGTTTCTTTGACTAGGACTTTTTGGCACCATTGCAAGTCTGAATTTTAAATGGGTTTTTGGACAGAGGAGGGTTTCCTACCCACCAGCTTGGTCAAGCTTAGCTCGGGCCTCGTCCCAATGGCTTCCAGAACCACTCCCTCCCACTGGGCCTCCACAACTTTCCCTAACTCGGACTCGGGCTTCTTGGCATTCCCCTTTCCCTTGAAGACATCCCGAGGGCTTCATAGGCGGCCTCTCCCGGTCTCCCCCAGGTGCTGGCTATGCCAGCGTACCAACTGTCTCAGGGCCCGTCTGTGCCTCCTGAGTCCTGTGCCAGGACCGCAGGCAGTTCTCGCCACACGAGCTTGGCCTGCCGGCCATCTTCCCACATAGCACATTTACCACTGCTAAGTCCATGGGAGCTGGTCAGAAGCTTCGCCTCCGAACACACTCCGTGCCCAGCTGTGGTTCCCAAGTGCGCCTTCGCCCCACAGGACAGCAAGGCCACTCTGACACAGGCTGGGAAGCCGTCAGGGGCCGTCCTGGTTTCCTGAATTGTGAGTAGCAGTTTTCCAATATATTTAAAAAAAATTTTTTCCAATATATATATATATATGTGTGTATATATATATATATACACACATATATATGTGTGTGTGTATATATATATATACACATATATATGTGTGTGTGTATTTGTGTATATATATATATATATATACTTTTGGAGGGGTTTTTGCTATAGGGCGCATGCGCTCACCAGGAAGATGGAGAGAGACAGAGAGACAGAAAGCGAGAAATCTCCCCCCCGGGGGGGATGGCCACGCCGCAATCCCTTCTCCGCCATTTTCCTCTCGGGATCTTGGGTTACGCACGCACACGCGCCTGGTGTGAGTTTAAACCACTGGGTCCGGGACTCAACCGTGGTCAACTACATGGGAGTCCAGTAACAGCCACTACGTCAACTGCTGGTACCCCTTTTTTATTGTGTGTGTGTGTGTGTTTGTGTGTGTGTGTGTGTGTTTCAAGCCCTAGGTCTGGGATGTGGTAGCACACGTACCCAGTGTTTTTCAAGCCCTGGGGCTGGGATTTGAGGGTGCAGTCAGCCACATGGGACCCAGCTCCCTTAACTGGAGGCTGCCCCACGTCATGGTGTGGATAGATTCTGCATCACTGGAGAGAGCGAGCTGTAGACGCCACAGTCCACCCTCCCAGCACTGCATCCTGCATGTCCCCCAAGGACCTGTCCTGCGAAGAGGCGACGGCCTCTTTTTGGGATGGGGGAGGAGAGCGCGCGTTAGTTTGTGGTGCACAGGAAGCACGGCTTAAATAGACATTCAGTTCGCTCTTACTAGCTGCCCAAGTAGTCACAGTGTCTGTGCTCAGGCCCGCGGAGGAGCACAGCACTCAGTTTTGTCTCTCAGGTTGTTGTAATCACGCAGGGAAAAGAGGCTTACAGGTCACGATGGGACGAGCGGCAGAGCAGCGCAGAGCAGCGCAGGCCGGGCGACTGCGATGGGAGTGCAGCCCCTGAGGTTGTGGGGAGGCCGCGTGCTGAGCCTGCTGGGCGTCTCAGGCACAGCCAGGGGGTCAGAGAGGAGCTCCACCGAGATCTTAGTGGACGATGGTGGCAGTGGCCACGAGATGACAAGGGCGGGCGAGGAAGAAAAGTCCCCACGGTGATCTAGAGTACAGAGGTCCGGACTGGTGGCCAACGGGAGCATCAGAGATGGCGAGTGGAGGGCCATCTGGGAGAGGAGTCAGTGCGCCGGACTGACAGTGCCTCCAGCTGCAAGGGGGGTCTCAGATGCAGGGAGACAGGACCTGGCCCAGACGGAGGACAGAGCTGATGAGCTGGGCTCAGGCTCCTCTTTTTATGTCCGATTTTGACAGGCTCATGGTGACTTGACAAAACATCAGAATATTTTTGTAAGGGACCAGCAGTTAGCATAACGGCTATGATGCTGGACTCCCACCTAGTCGACA